CAGGGAATGACTCATCAGCCACCTGCAGACCAATGCCACCCTACCTTGCATCATCGGCTGTGCTTCTGGTTTTGCCGATGCCCTCGAGACTCTTTCCCACGGTGCCCTTGAAGCCCTTGCCATCGGAGCCTTTGAAGTAGCCCTTGCTGATTGCCTTGCCCTTGCTAAAACCGGCAGAGACGCTGCTGAAGTTGCGGTCATTCGATACCTTCTGATTATTTTTCTTGTGGGGGTGATCGCCCTTGCTGATTGCCTTGCCCTTGCTGCCGTTCTTGCCCGTCATGCCACTTTGGCCCTTGGCACTCTGCTTTTGGAAGGACTCGTCGTCTTCACAGTGCCACCAAGACAGAATCTGTCTGAAATCTGAAATAATGCGGCACCAAGCACTTTTGAACTCATTAGTTCCCTGCTCTGCGTCAAAGTCGTTGGCATGAGTCTTGATCCCAGGCACCATACCAAAGCGTCCACATGCCGCCAAATTCTCATACCAGTCCCATGGCTCACATGGCCGAAATCTGTCATCTCTGATCATAGCGATGACAATGCCAGGCTTTACCCGGAGCCTGCAAAATCGGATTGGGCAAACAGGACTGCCAACAAACAGCTGCCACTCGCAATGGTCATAAATCAGAACTTCATCCATGGGCCATGTCCCGATCTTGCTGGCATGGTTTCGGTGCTGTCTGGCCATTCCATGCTTTGTACAACTTCATGTCCAAACTTCCGAAATCTTGGACCTGGCACTCCGCCTCTTTGATCCATTGATCCAGTTTTGCAGCCCTTCGGAGCTTATGCAAACCATATGTGTATTCGCGAACTTCTCTGTCCTAGTTGACACAATTTCATCGAAGTTGTTCCAATGGTCGCTGCCAAGATCAAGGTCCTCGTTATCATCGTCGGCAGAGGTGGAAAAGATTCCGCTCGAAGCAGCCATGGGCAGCAGGAATGCTTTGAAAGATTGAAACTGCTAATAGCATCACACCACCAACTTTTGTTTACAGGTTACATTACATTAAATATTACATTGGATGGTGACTCTCATGGGACCATCATTTATTGAGTTGCTGCAAACGCTGACCTCTTTTCTCTCTCACTCTTGGAGTCAATGGTGCTGAACAATCAGGACACGTTCCAATCTAACAGGACCTGCTGCAATCAATGCATATGCAGGGCAGCCGGGCCTCCTCGTCGTTATCATCGTCGGCAGAGGTGGAAGAAGCCGCCAACATCGGAATTTGAATCAATCACAAAACAATGAGCAAAATGAACAATTGAAAAACAAACTATGACAAATAAAAGCAAACAAAGTCAAAAGCAAACGAATAAGGACAAAGTTCGCCAAATACGTGACAAGATGAGGTTTTATCCTAATAATAACAAGCCTTGATAAACTAAACACTGTGGTTCCGCACCCTCGCAAAAAGGTTAAGGATTTGTTTGCCCTGATCGGTGGGCGTGCCTGCAGTGCGGACACCACTAAGAAATCTAGTCCATACCGTAAGACGCGACTGTACACGCGGAGATTGAACACTGGATAGAAAACTAGGTCTAGCACACTTTCTTGGAAAGCGATGCAACTTTGATGCCCTTAAAGCAAGTTTTTGTACCAACGACATGGACACTGCCGGTCTCTGTCCTGGAATCCGTTTCGCTGACATGTATGTGTAGGCTTATCTTTAACTTGTAGAGGTAACTACGACAATCTGAACCCCGACCACCGAACTCGTCGTGAGAACGTACTTGTGAGAGCCTGTGACTCTTGCGTGAAATTCTGTAAAACCCATGGAACGTCCGTCAAGGTGAGTGTCGCTGCTACGACTACCAGGTAGCCTTCATGTTTGTGATGCGAAGGAAACAGCGTTACTAGTAGGATTAATCACATACAGGAAGCTCATGTGCTTTTCGTACTACTGCATCTCTCAGTTATGCTATTGACTGAGCATATTCAAGGTGCGACACAGAGCGGCATCAAATGTGCCTGTGGACGTACACCTCCTGAAAATGGATGTGCCGAGGAATACAAAAAAAACTGAAAGCATGGCGCACACTGTGAATGTGTTGGAATCTATACTCTTATTCATGGACCTACGAGGGTTTGACTGACAGTTCCAGAGGCAAAGCATGTTTGCGCAAGTCACGAGCGAGAGTCATGCACCTCAGAGCTCCTGCAGCGATTGCAACCAAAGCACAGAGTCCCAGTTGACAGTGGGTAGACCAATTGGCATAGAAACGCCTGTGTGGCAGACACCACTTCGGCGTTAGATGCGCATGGCTGCATGTGACACAAGCAATACAGGTTGCAGAACAGGCCGTGAAGTGTCTCTTGCTCACAATTTGCTTACGCCCCCAAGCGCGGAGCTTGCCTTTTCGAGAGTTCAACTTGTACGGCTGTAGGTGACAACACTCCAGGCTTGCTGCTTACAACAGAATTCAGTGTCCTGCTCAAACAGAAGGTCGTGTGAAGGGCCACTACTTCGCCCGACCTTCGATGGTCACATTCAGCCGTGCAGAAGCTGGAACGAATGTTGACAGACACTCGGCATTGACGTAGATCATGGATACCGCAAACCTGGCATGAAGGAGCGGTGTTCATGCGCAATTCGAGCCGTAGTCCTAGTGTGCTACAGATGGCCCTTAGTTATGCTGACATATTCAGGTTTGCGAGGTAATAAAGCGTGTGATTTCGAAAAGCCGCAAGTGCTTGCTGAAATCTTGTAAGGCGTACGAGCAAAATCTTTCGTAGGTCCAGGACACAAGTAAGTTCTTCCCAGATCTTGCACTCTAGAGCCGTCTCTGCTTCTCACTTAAACCAAGCGACGTCAGTACTTTGAGGCAAGACGCCATCCTCAGTCGGTAGATTGCAGCGAAGCTATGTTGAGCTGTACATGCCATGTCCGTCCGCGTAAACAAAATTTCGCAGCACGTGTGCCCTGCATTTCTGGCCAGCTTCCTGTCAGGTGTGATTGAAGTCCAACGTGTCTCGCAATTGAAACTGGTTATAGAGAAACCTTTACCCTCCCGAAAAGAAAGGAAGTGATCATCCGAGCATCAGGTCCTACATTACCTCGACAGTCTTGTCATGAGTGTAAATGTAAGGCATTTACGAGCCCACGATGACCAGAGGCAGTCTTCGTCGTGATTGGCCATGGAAGGACAGCATCAACGGCAATCCAGCAACCAAGGTCACTTCGCTACAAGACTAGTCAACTTCGCGGGCACGGAACGTAGGAAGTAGAAGCCATGAAAGAACTAGCGAGGTCAGTCAGAGCTCCGAAAGACGGGACTGTTCAGCTCTGGTGGCCCAACTAGGATTTGCCTGGCTCTGCAAACTCCTTGCGGCAGGACAGAATGCCAATCATCACCGACCGCTCGCTGCGTGCCGAGCAGCCCGTCTCGGGGTAGCGGCAGCATCAGCACTCTGGAACAAGTACTGCTGCGGACGGGAGGTATGCGCAGCTTGAATGCATGAGGCCTTTGAACTGGTACTGCATGACTGCTTGTCAACGAAGAGCCTGCAAGCACACGAGTGCCTCAAGCGAACATCCAAAGCTTCATCGCCTAAACAGCACCTAAACAGCTCCTGCGAGATATACTGAGAGCGACTACGGGTGGAGTATGCATCTGCCTCAGCCACAACGACAGTCTTGTCATGTTGCACGTGACACGGATGATTTTCTGCTCCGCGGTGTGCGCGCCCAGGATCGCCCAGCACGCTGCTAAGGAGCAATGAGACCACAATAGAAACTTTGAGAATTCGGGCATATCTCTGGGATATTTTGCAGCTGCAACCTCTCGGTGCACGTGTTCAAACAGGGTGGGCGGGGTCGGATCATCCTTTCAATGGTAATCTTGCAAGTTGCCTCGGTCGAACTTTCACGCAGAGCTTTCGGAACTATGCTATGCCGAGCGAATGAGATGGCAAGAAACGACGAAGTGAATAAGCTACTTTTTTGAGGTCTCCAAAGCTCAAAGGCGAGCCAGAACTCGCGAAGAGCTTTATTTTCTACCAAGCGTCCACCGGCTTTGCCGAAGGGATAGCAAGGAAACGGAGTTTGAGGCACATACTCATTCATCGCAGACCCCAGGATACAAGTGATGTTGGCCTTTGTGGAACATTTGTGCGAGGTACTGAAGAAGCAAAGGGACGGACATCAGAGCAAAACAGGTCCGCCCTGATCCGAATGACGGGTCCACCGGATGGAGGTCTAAAGCTCTAAACAGCGACACTTACCGAGGCCCTCAACTTTCGCCAGTGGGTCGAGTCAATGAACAAGGTGCCTCAGGGTGCCTAGAGTCACTGATGAGCTCTCATGCAATCGAACATTACGTGAAACCAACTCATTCGGACGGAGCAGCTGGAGCAACGTCGTTTTTGTCTGACTTGATGTTCTTGGCGGCTGTGGATTCGCACTTGGGGCATCCATTAGGAAGAATTCAGAACGCATAGACGGCTGCAGCTCCTCATGCGAAAACGATTCGCATGGCTGTGGAACACCGCACATAATGTCAAGAACCGAAAGCTTTCCGACCACCAGTGCTCCTGTTGTATACGACACATTAACCTGAACTGCGGAATGCCGAAAATCTCGGCCTGGGGTCTAAGGTGCGGATGTCTCACTGGGCCTAAGGCCACGACATTCCCTCAGCCGAACAATGCGCAAGTCACGCAGCCAGGAGACGGAGTGGGCTAAGCCCATGTCACCTTCAGAGAATGCGCAATCTGCAGGATCCCATGAAGCTTTTGCAGCGGGGTTCGCCTTTCCTGGACGCCTGGTTTTGCCACATGCTAGGACTTCGAACCGAGTGAGCTAGTCGCATGCACTGCTCGCCATGTTGGGCCTTGCCCAAACAGGATCGCTGGGCCTGAACCTCTCTGGCGGCTTCAATCGAAAACATCGGATGCCGAGACAAGCATGAAGGGATTGGAGAACTAAGACATTCACAGTGCTTGCCCGCCTGTGACCGCGTGATGCCACTCACAAACGCGTCTTTTTCGGCCGCCGTTTTCTTCTCCTGTCAGTGCTGGACAGAGCCTGAAGGCTAGAGGCAGCATGTAACCTAGAGCTAGGATCGGACACTCCAGAAATTCCCAGAAGTTTCTGCTGGGGGTTTTGCGCAGGCTCCCGGGCCCTGCCAGAACTCCGAGGTACTGAAGGTCTGATTTGATGATGCTCTGGTCCAGCGCCGACAGGCTGAGCAGACGCAGCAGTGTCGCAGTGTCGCTGCGCTGACATGCCCGTGCAAGCCATCAGCACTGCGGACGACAAGTAGGCCTGGCCTCTTGCCAAACAAGGCGCCCCGGTACGCGATTGTCGAGGATTTCTGCTGACATCATCGTTGCAACCTGGGCTAATGCGCAAGACAAGCGCAGCTTGCCCTCGCCGGCCTCGAATTATCAAGCCTTTGAGGTTTTGGATCTAACCCATCAGAGCGTTGACTGCAGACAGTCAGATACAGTCAGGACAGGTCTCCAACTGGCTCACGTACGACCCCAGTCTGCATGCTGCGAATCGGAAGCATTACACACAAAGGCTGTTGTTCTAACAGAGAGATCCGATACAGAAGAATCCCGAACAAGAACCTATGTTGCTTCGCCATGCTCCCCAGAAAGTATTTCGATGGAGCTCCGACTCATCGTGATGGTGTGGCAACGAAAGTAACAATACGTACTGAGTGGTACTGCCTGGTGAGGCCTTCGGAAAACATCCGCCATGTTGCAGTTTCAATGCTGTAGACAAAGAATTCTCTGCAGCTTGCTCAGGAAAGCAGGGTGGAGAGAGGGATAGGCAAGGGGTGGCCAAACAGACCTGGCACTGCTGCAGCTATCGCGCAGGTAGCACGGATTGCTGCTTGTGGTAGCAGTAGCAGCATAGCAGCGCCAGCAGTAGCAGGACAGCAGGAGGAGCAGCAGCAGCAGCAGAAGCACAAGCACAAGCGGAAGCAGAGTCAGAAGCAGTAGCACTAGCAGTAGCAGTAGGAGTAGTAGTACAGTAGTAATACAATAGAAGTACAGTAGTACGAGTCGCAGCAGCAGCAAAAGCAGAAGTAGAAGTGAAATAGAGAAAAAGTAGAAGTAGAAGAGGTAGCAGTAGTAGTCGTAGTAGTAGTAGTAGTAGTAGTAGTAGTAGCAGTAGTAGTAGTAGTAGTAGTAGAAGTAGTAGTAGTAGTAGTAGTAGTAGTAGGAGTAGGAGCAGGAGTAGGAGTAGGAGTAGTAGTAGTA